AACAGCGCCGCCGTGCCGTCAGCACGCATTAGCCGCCCCGGGCCGTGGCCGCGAGCGGACAAAGGCCATCCAGAAGCCGAAACAGGTGCTTCCCGTTTGGACAATTACTGGTGCGGGCGGCCAATTTGGCGCACTTGTCCAGCAGGGAGCACGCGTCTTGGATCGGCTGTGTCGCCCGGGGGCGGTGGACGAGTATTGGTCATGACGTGACCACACATTGGCTACGGATGGCCCACAGACAGACCAAAAGAACAACCCGCAGAACGGCCCACATTCCCGGCAGCTCGTTCTGCTTCCCTTCCGCAGGGTGCATGCCGCACGCCTCCCCTGCAGGGTGCGTGCCAACGCTGCCTCCACGCGCATTGCACGCCCCTACCCTCATGCAGGTCGGCCTGGCCCGCTGGTCTGCCCTTGGCGAATACCGGCGGCATTTATAGCAGCGCGGTAGCAGCAACGGGCGTCTCTGCTCACGCCGTAAGATGGTCTGATCGACACTCGTGCTGCGCAAGCGCAACTCGGAGAGGAGGTGGGAGATGCCAGAGGGAGATGCCATCTCCAGAAGCGGTGGGGAGAGAGAGGGGAAGAGAGGGGAGGGGAGGTAAGGGAGGTGAGAGAGATAAGAGGTTTGGGAGAGGAGAGGGAAGAGAGAGGAGAGGAGAGGGAGGAGAGGAGTTAAGGGTAGAGGTGGCAAAATGTGGACCCGAGGACCCGGTCCAAAGAACCAGCCTGGACCCATATCGGTCCAGACCGGTTCCTGGAAATTTTCTGACAGGTCCAACCGGGTCCTACCATAACTATACATCTTGCGCACTACACATTATTGCAAATATGAAGTGAATGAAGTGATTGTTTCTTTGCACACAGTAGCTCATGAGTATTCCCAGTGGGAAATAGGCTGTTTTACATGATGCAACTAATGATACCTACAAGTAGTTTGTATTAATTGACTTTTGGGGAACGGTCCAACTGGTTCCGATTCCAACTAAGACCGGGTCCGACTGGTTCCAGAAATATCCAGCCGGTCTGGTTCGAGTCTGGTTCCCAAAATTTTCATCTTTTGCCACCTCTAGTTAAGGGCAGAGAAGGTTTAGGGAGGGAGGAAGGCGAGGAGAGGGCACGGGTGACGGCTGCAGCACTGGGCAGCTCTGTCCGCCTGAGTGGAGCGCAGAGAAGCGATAACGGTTCCGCCGCAGGTGGGTCGACCTCTGGACTCTGCCAGCCTCCGCCGCCACCGCCGCCTCTGCCACTGCCACCCGGCTGCCGCCGCCGCGCCATGCCGCCATGCCGCCGTCGCCACCTCAGAGCGAACTGGACAACATTTAAACATTTAGAAATAACATTTATTCGTGTATACATTTATACAAAAATATACATATCAGAATTATGGCTGATAAAACCAATAAAGCGATTCCTTTCAGTTGTAAAAAGCGCCTTGATTTCGGCAGCAAAGCTGCTAATCAGTGGCGCTTTTCAGCAAGCTCATCTCTCTCGCTGCGCATTATCCAGTTCACTGACATTGCAGACACGGGGTACTTACGTCGGACCATTTCCATGGCGGTCGGCCGGGCAGCGGGCTGTCTAATCGCCCGTACCCACGCCAGCCGTCTCCTCCATACGGGCTACGTGCTGATCTCGGCGGGACGCTATGGTGTCCACGACCTGCTGACCCCATCTAGCTGGCTGACCCGGCGCGCGCGGCCTCCGGCAGTGACCCTGCTGGATAGATGCGCCTCCCCCGACATCAGCATGGCACACAGATGGATAGATGAGAGGAGGCGGGTCGGGACAGAGGAGCTCTGCCGATGGGGAGGCGGCACCCACGTGTCTCACCCAGGGCGTCAGGGCGGCTACCTCGGCTGTCAAAATGGCGAGCAGCTTAGGTGCCTCAAGGGAGAGAGGCAGAGAGAGAGAGAGAGAGAGAGAGAGAGAGAGAGAGAGAGAGAGAGAGAGAGAGAGAGAGAGAGAGAGGGAGAGACAAGAGAGAGAGAGAGAGATAGAGAGAGAGAGAGAGATAGGAGAGAGAGAGAGAGAGAGAGAGAGAGAGAGGAGAGAGAGAGATAAAGAGGAAGAGAGAGAGAGAGAGAGAGAGAGAGAGGGAGAGAGAGGAGAGAGAGAGAGAGGGGAGAGAAGAGGAGAGAGAGAGAGAGAGGAGAGAAGAGAGAGAGAGAGAGAGAGGAGAGAGAGAGAGAGAGAGGAGAGAGAGAGAGAGAGAGAGACCCGGTGTGAGGGCAAGGTCCGGATCACACCATTAATCGTTGGTTCGAACTAAGCCACGCTGGTCTCAGGAGGGTCATGCGCCAGTGCTGTCTCTATTGGTGCAGGTTCAAATGGAATACCCCGAACCGGCTCTGTATATCGAGACTACCTCGATGGCGGGCATAAATTGCGCCCGCCGTTCCCAGGAACTGCTCATTGGACAGTCCAGCCGGCAGAGTAGAGACAGCTAATCTGATTGTCGATGCAAACCAGGTGCTGAAAGCCGGCTGTTGAGAGCTGGACCTGCTACCGTCCGATGGCTCTTGGTAAACGGCTGTCCCGGGGCGGAGCGGCGCTCACGTGAGTTCGCTGTGCAGGTGAGGTGGTGGGGAGAGGGGCACTTGCTGAAGAGGGAGGGAAGGTCGGCCAGTGTGACGTCACGCGGTGCCCTGGATATACGACCTCGCCTCTGATATTGATGGGATTTCTGAACATCTCGGCGGGTGACTGACGGAGCAATCCAATCCGGAGCTAAACGTCTTGATTATTCCCCCCGATCCGTCTTCTCGAAAGACGTGTTGTAAAAGATCGGTGAAAGCTACTGAGCCTGAAACGTAAACAGATTTATCTATTTACGATGTTTTCTAGTATCACGCGCGGGGCCATGACCCTGGATGACCGACGAGGTCGGCTGAGAAGGTCGCTCCAGCAGCTCCGCTACAGAGTTGATCCCAAAATAATCGCCGCCCTGTCTCTGAAGTGCCGAGCTGAAATGACGCGCCTCCTTTGTCTGCTGGCCGGGCGCCCGTTCAATCCGCGATGTGCGGCTCGGCACCGGCGCTGTGGGTGTTATTTGTCCGTCTGTGGGGCCGCGCCGACCCTGAATTCCGGCCAGGTAGATGCTAATCTCCTGCGGCGACCCTGCCATTCGACATGGAGCTCACCGGGCGCCGCCCCCTCGCGGCGGCCGACAGGGCGGCACGCGGCGTCGGCAGGCCGCTGATGTATGGTGGCCGCTCACCCACCGCCCTCGCTGCGCACCGGCCGCGGTTACAGCTCCGCTCCTTCGTCAGCACTGCAGTCATCACACCACCACCTTCATAACTAAGGCGAATTTTGATAACGTTTCCTGTCACGATTTGAAGCCGGGCTGGCTGAGACGAATCAAAACAAGGTCCAGGTTCAGGTTCAGATGTTATGAGAAATAACGTCTTCTCGATTCATTCCATTTTACACGTTTTCGTCTTTCCCACATCCACCTGGATGTAACATGATTGTGCGAAATCTGACAATGTTCAGATGGAACATCTTGGCAGCGCGGTCGATCGGCGTCCGCGGGAACCGTCGCGGTTTGACAGACGGACAGGCTGATCGTGTGACGGGCGGTAATGGTTCTACAGCTGCGTAGAGATCCAACTGTTAGTCGCTTCTTCAGGCGATGTCTGTCGGATACGACAGCACAGGACGTGATGGGGGGGGGGAGGGGGCAGTATGCACACTGCAAACTGTGCAGAGCGTATGAGCTGCTTGGAGGACAATGGGTTCAAGACGCTTGGGTCTTTGGATCTTTTAGCTCGCGGGTAATGAATTAGTAACATCAAGCGTGCGAGACAGGGAAGGAGTCAAGAGAAGGATTAACAATGAAAAGTTTGCCTCATGAAAAGCAATTCCAAGTGTTTATTGAAAACATCTTTACGCGATCCATAGACTGACGGTGTTCAAAACGCCAAAGAAGAGCTTCAGGCTCTCCCGGCCCAGTTTCGTGATATCATGTCTTCTGCACCGACTCCGTTTACCGTATGGACATAACGTGAGCGAGTCACGGGCTGGGCCACGGACCCCACATTAGGTCTGCCCGAGCTGCGGACTTGGCTCGTGACCGGAGATCGCCGGAACCGGTCGGGTCAGCGATCTGCACTCACCGCCGGCCACACAGCGAGCTGATGGAGCTATCGGACCGGGCTGAGCGGGAGAGACTACATTCGAGCGCCGAGTAAGGTAGCTCGAGTGGCGAGCAGTGGCGATCGAGGACCGAGAGACGGCGCCCGAGAGGCGAGAGACAGCAGCCAAGCGTCAACGACTGCGCTCCAGCGGCGAGCGACGGCGCTCGGAAGGCGAGAGACTGCGCTGGAGGGACCGTTTACCACCCGCTGGATGACACCGATTTCATCCTGCAGCTCTGCACGGTCCAGTCACCTGTAGTCACCGCTGAATGGCCGGCTATGATTGCTGCTAAGTAGTTAACCGACCATCAGTCGGACTTGCAGATTTGTGGGGGTTGATTTGTGGGGATGTTGCCCGGGCCGTAGCAGCGCTGCCTTGCGACCAGCCGGCCCGGTGTTGCGGCATTGGGTCGATACCGGATCGGTGTGTAGTAGGTACGGGAGAGTGAGCAGTCAGACAAGATCATCGGGTCACAAATCGTGCTCATCGACTGATCGCAGATGGCTAAAGATACTATCTGACACTGGAAACTCTCACCGCTGATGGCTCTCACCGAGCCGGCGGGGCTGTCTCACATAGGTGCCATACACTTTCTCATAGTTGGGGACCGGATACGGAAACGTCGACATACGGGAAATATCCACACTCTGGCACATCGGAACGGCCGGACGGAACACCGGCTGCTAACATTTTACCGCTTGCAGACATTTAGTCACTTCCTAACGCTGTTTTCTCATGCCTCCCTCCACGTCCGGTTATTGCGCTTTACTTAAGCATAACTTGCCAACATTTAACAGATAGCGTTACCCCATTATTCTTTTGATCCCGACCTTTTGCTGACATTTGTTGTTCTGTTTCAGGACACGACGCTCGGCCAGGAGCTGCTGGATAATGTGTTTCGTCACCTGAACCTGCTGGAGACGGCCTACTTCGGCCTGCGGTTCCTCCACTCCTCCAACCAGCCGGTAAGTCACTCCAAAAGCGGGTATCGGGTGTAAAACGTCCTTCCGCCAACCAGCCGGCAAGTGTTAACTCCCAGTTTTCCAACTGCGGACCAGCGGATGAGAGATGCACTCTTCTGCTACCCACTTGTATATATCCCTCGCACGACCAGGCCATTTCTCATAACACGAACGACCAGGGGGGGGGGGGTTGTTACGACCCCCCCCCTGGCGTTTCGAAACGGAAGGTCGTAGAGCTTAGCGGAAAAAACCAACGGATTGCTCTCAACGAGATCTCGCGATTGGTGGTATATTTTTTGGTCCTAGGTCAACATTTGACCTACTTTTGACCGGTCAAAGGTCAAATTTTCGGAAAAATAGACTTTTTTCAGCTTTCGCGGCGATTGCGGCAAAACGGTGGGAGATATCGACTTGAAACCTTCACTATCGTGTTTCTTGATCAATTCTCTATCGTTTGGTATGTATTTCGTTTCCCTAGCTCTAAAAATGGCGCGTTGGGAGCGCCGGAAGTTGGCAAGGTCACAGTCGGCGGCAGAAATTCGAAAAATCAAAATTTAAATTTTTGAAATCTTATTGTATTTTTGGATTTGGGAGGTCCATTTGCTCCCTATAGAAGCTAATATTGCTGCATATTCCCATTGAGGTGACAAGAATTAGCAAAATAGTGGTTCGGGCGCTTTTCAAAAATAGTACCGGACGCTGTTCCCCTTGTGACGTCATAGCTCCGTGACCTGACCTGACCCGGTCAAGTTTCTTATACCATATGATAGCCAATACTTGCCCCAACATGCATGGGAAGTTTCATCACGATCCATCAACCGATGTTTGTACCACCGGCAGGAAACCTCGGGCGTTGGCACTCAGTTTGTGAAAATCCGGCCGGAGGCTGTACCTCTTATGACGTCATAACTCCGTGACCTGACATGACCCGATCAATTTTTTTTCGGCAAAAGATGCGCAAAGGTTGCCCCAGAGGGTATTGAAAATTTCAGCCCGCTACGACAAGCCGTTTAGCGTGCACTTCGAAAAAACCTCAGGGGGGGGTTGATACAACCCCCCCCCTAGGCGTTCTAGGGATATATGTATGCATGTATATGTATGTATGTATGTATGTATTGACGTAGGCAGACACTCCACAGTACACTGTGGCTTGAGCTTGAGCTGGGGTCACTCATCCAACAATCACTCCTCCAACCAGCTGAATAGTCAGTGAGTGTTACCCCCAGATACTCCTCCAGCCAACCCGCAAACCACTCCTTCAAGCAGTCGGCTCACCCCACTCGCTCGGGTGACCACTGACATCATCCTGTAGCTATATCAGGGCGCCTATAATCCTACCGGGTAGAAGAAAAGAGCTGGTGACGAATTTGGCAGCTAGATATAGGGCAATTACGGCGCTAAGCCGTTTTTTAAAGTCGTGCTTTCTATATTGAGGGTGGTTATCGAAGGGAGTTGAAACAACATCTGCAAAAGTGTTGGTGAAAAGCAAGGCCACTAACCGAAAGCAGCGCACTTTTGCACCGCCAAAGGGAGATTATCATACTATCGGAGCCATGAACTTCCCTCCCCGCACAAAAACGCTGCCTGAAACGCGAAACTTACTGAGAAAGAAATAATGCTGCAAAAACGTGCAACGGTAACAAATTGCATCGCATTAGTTGGTTCTTCTTACTGCGACGACCTGTTCTGAGCTTATGCCTAATCGAGTTTGTCTTTTCATACGGCTGAAGCCTGGCCTTCCGTATACGAGCACTGGTTGGGCTGCGTCGGTGTCAGTTTTGGGTCGTGAGGAGCGTGTCGGTAATCAGGGCTGTTTTGGGTGGGCCGTGTCAGTAAAGCTTTATCGGCCCGCCTGGTAACACTGTCGGTGACGTTGTGGCTGTCAGACTCGGCTGAGGTCAGTAATGCTATCGAAGGGACTGCTGACATTGTTGTCCTACCGCATTATGGTATCCGAGGGAGTGGTCGACCAGCTGGCCAGCTGGCCAGGTGTCTGCAGTGCACTGTCACACAGCTCTGTCACGTTCAGGAAGAGGCGTGGTCGTATCACCAAATTCAGAAGTCTGTACAAACGCGGGGTGCGGACCATCGTGCAGCTCCAGTTGCTTACTCAGCGTTTATCTACATGCATGTGGGCACTGAGGAACATTCTTATAAAGGGCATAGAAAGGATTTAGCCAGGCACTGAATGCTTTTGCGCTCTAAAGAGTCACTCCTCTTGTGGCAAACACTTGTGGTCTTGAAGATGAAATTGTGCGCATGGATCAAATGAGCGTTTGTGGTAATATGCTCCAATGCAATGTAGTGTTTACAGGCTACAATTCAATGGCTAACGGAACACCCCAACAGGTTAAATTAGGCTATAATTTCTATCGGTGGAAGCTGTCTAATTAAGTCGTGATTTTCCTGTCACGGTTGGGGTCGCGACGGTGTAATATAGCTCCGGCGGGAGATTGAACGTGTGTCGTGACCAGTAGCGATTCTTCATTAGCTCGCGGTGTGCTTAATTCCATGTTCTTGTGGTCGACTAGCTTTGTTTTCGACCAATGCACAGCTGTCTGCTCACTGTTCAGGTGTTCATTAGTCCACTACAGAGGCGGATCCAGCTCAGAGGTTTGGGGGGGGGGGGCAAACCATAAAAATTTATCCATTCTTTCCATGCATCGTCCATAGGCGTAATGTTAAAATCATGCCGTTTGGGGGGGGGGGCAAATGCCCATTTTGCCCCCCCCCCGCCCTGGATCCGCCACTGGTCCACTACAATACAAAACGTTTTAGTTGTAATCAATTTGCTGTCTCCAAATTGCCTGCCATGATAAGGACTTTCTCTGTCTGGTCATTCCATGAATTAGGATCACACAGCATGCCTTTCTATCATGTTTGTTTCCGAAGAGCCAGAAAACAAGATTGAGTTTTCGCCCTTGGGTGTCTAGTTACATTCCAATAATCCGGAGGAATGCTGAGATTCAAACACAGATTGGAAATCACCCTCTCCTTCTGCTCCAGTCCCTGCTAATGACCTTTTGCCTGTCCCGAGGACACGGGTCGACTGACTGCTACCGTCGGCGTCGTGGCAGGACCATCAGTTCCGGCGCCGTGAGATTGTATCGCGACCCTTTCTCACGCCCCCCAGAGCTAGGCGGGGCCTAACGATCTCGGCGCACGCGGCGCAGCGCCGTGCGGTACCCAGCCGCGCTGAGCCATGCTGAGCCCGCGCTGGGACGTACGATGCCATGCAGGCTGTTCTCGACTGTTCTGGGACGTGTTTGCTAGTGCTGGAGTCACTCAATACTGACGGACAACGGTTTAAACTGATACATTTGGATAGGAGCGGTGTTCCGTCGCGCCCGCCGCGCCGACCTGCGCCGTGGCGGCCAATGGAGATTGGACAATGGATACAGTTCTGGGAAATGTTACCCAGGACTTTGAATAGTGACTGTATAAAGGATGACGTGTGTATTTTGCATAACCAGGACATGTCTCTTGAAATGTTTTACGGTATCGATATTGCTGAAAATAAGTGCTGTGTTGACAATGCTTTACCAATTCGTTCGTAGGTATAAGATAGACAAACACTGTTCTACCCGGCCCTGGCGCCCTGTGTGGCTAGCCTTGAGTGACCTACCTGCCATTTGTTTCGGCCCGGTTCCGTCTCCGGTGACCGGTGACCCTGCCGGCTGATGGATCGGCGCCGGTAACCGGTCACAATGGCCTCTGGATCCGCGCTCCGCCCGTAATCAATCGCGATCGGAACCGGCGGCCAGCGGGTTCATTGTTCTGCGCTCAGTCGGCGCCGGGAGAACTGGGCCCTTTATGGTCCCCCGACACGCCACACGGGTAACCGACAACACAGTCCTCATTCGGGGGCGGTGGGTGGGGCCGCCAGCGGACATCGCTGTTAGGGAGCTAAAATGGCTCTTTACTCAGCGCCGGCACTGCACTTATCGATGTCATTAGCATAAAATGTGCGAGCATTGAGGCTGTCCTGCAGGAAAACAGCGTTTTGTCACAGAAAAAGCTGGCATGATGGCCTTAAAATGGCACATATCTAGCAAGGTGATGTCAGTTTGAAATGGGTATCAGACATAAAGCATTAGCTCATCGGTTTTAAGTGCTCAGTTTTTTAATTCGTGAAATCAAAGACTGAACGAAGAATGAGATCTTGTTTTCGACTGATGCTGTAGTGACATGCATTTGAAGTAGGTATGATTGGTAAAAATATCAACACCCACACAACTGGGAGCGTGCTTTCCTTTCTAATAATTCATACATGATGAGTCAACCTTCTGATTTTTTGGCGACTTAGTGGAATCAAATCGCTCGCGATCTTACCTTAAGCTTATATATTATGGTGTTACCGCTTCTCATAAGTCACAATAGTCGGCCACCAAGCTAGTAAATTTATGTTTTTTTGTTTGAGAGAATTCAAGCTCTTTTGTCTGATATGCAATTTCAACCGATGAGTGCAGCCTTTGCATTGTTGGATTTGGAAAAAAAAATTGTCCCCAAAACATTCGAGGCACGACAAAGCATGGATCGATATAAAATGCTCGACTTAATATTTAATAAATTTCATGGCTCTTTTTCTACAAACGATGAACAATTCTTGTTATTTGGCATTGGCATGGGCGAGAGTGTCGAACTAGCATATTTTACATATCGCTGTTGATTCGTTTCGCTTTATCTTTATGATTTCAGTGCCTTAGGCAATAGGCATACTAACCGTTTGCATCATTGTTTTTTTTGGTAGTTGGTTATTCGAAACGACCATCTGAAAATTGGGAACATTCCAATTAGAATTTCTAACAAATGTCATGCTCTATTTTTTGGGTATAATCTCACGATGTTGCGTTTGGGCAATCATAACATTTTTGCTACAATACCTCTTCTGAAATTCGTGACTGGGTAGGTTAAAAATAGATGTAGCTCAAATTAATTTTGAGAACTTCATTGCCACGTGTGATGCTTGGTGCAGTTATGATCACGTTAGAGCTTCTTTGGTAGCGTTTGCCGTCACGTGAGCAAATTTTAATTGGCCATCGTTTCTACATATTTGAACTTGACATGGCACGTGCCAGCGAAACAAAAGGCAAATGGGTGTGCTCAACGCAAACCCCTAAACAGCGTGCATGATGGAAACGAGTGATCAGTAAAGATAAACAAGAAACCTTATCCTGTTTCTTTTTGTCTGTCACGAACATACATATAGCGATTATCGTTCTTAACATCTGACTATCCCTAGATATCGCTACTGAAATCACAATGTTAGGTGCATATTTCTCGACGTGTTCTGCATAAATGTCATGTCCTATCGTATTATGGTAAGAAATTTAACCCAACTCTCTCATGCATCTTAAAAGTAAATTTTGAATTCCAAAGAAAACAACTTTTCGAAACAAACGAGACAAACGAGATTTTTCAAAACAATTTTTCTTTGAATCCGAAATGTACTTTTAGGAAGCACGAGAGTAGGGTCAGTTTTCTTACTATTTGTTACAACTTACAATGCCTCTCAAACCAGCTTTCAAGCATATTCAAGACTGTAATGTCTTATCCTTTGATTTAAATTTAACGGGTTCCTTGTTGTCAATCTAACAGTTTATAATGATAACCTTATTTTACACGTCCTTGCTCAAGCCGTGTGCCTATGGCAAGGACCTAATTTCAACAATATACCTAGACAGCAGAAGCATGACAAGTTAAGACAGAAGCATATAAGTTATAAGGTGATGGCAAAATGGGTACATATCTTCCAATACGACAAAGTACAGGATGGTTGGTTGAAGTATCTTTTAACCCATCTAAGGAATGCTAGAAATTCCATTGATAATAGGTTTAACGGGGAGCTGTCGGCCTTCTTTAGTCGTATATAGGCGTTAGCCGCCCTTCCCTGTCGACCGACCCGACTTTTTGCCGCCGAGGTATGTATGGCTAAGCCTCCCCCTCCTCCACCCGTGTGCATCTGGTGCTCTGAGGTGGGGGGGGGGGGGGGATGCGAGCCGTAACGTGGGTCTGAGGCCGTCCTCACATGGCAAACTCTTATCATGCACCGTGCAGTTGAGCGAAACTGCTTTCTCGGTATGTTCCATGCACGAAAAGAAGGGATTGCTTCTTTCGTATTTCGTTTGCTTAAATTTTAGGGCATTTATTTCGTTTCACGTTTCTATTCACAGTAGATTTCGTCACATCTTTTATCTATTTATTTCACCACTTCGTGATTCATCGGTCGCAGCTTACCCTTGCCGCAGACGGCCACTCCTATGCCACCTGCTGGCACCACCCACTCGCCTGAACACACCCCTTTCCCGCCCAGCCGCACATACAAGGCTCTGACCATATCCCTGACACATTAGGAGCACATCATCGTCGCTTTATCAGCTGATCGGTCGCCTCTGCCCCCTCCCCGCGACCACAGTACGGACCAGCCGACCGCCACGACTGTCGGCACCGCACCAGGAAATATGGGTCAAGTGCAGCGCCGGCCGGACGCGCTCTGGACCGCTTTGATACCTGACGGTCGGTCGTGGCGGCGCGGCGGTCAGATTGCCGGGTAGCAGCACGGCCTGTCTGCTGCCGTGACGGACCGAGCGGTGCCGTCTGCACGGCGCGGCGGGCCAGCCGCGTGTACCGACCTGTTCGGATGGGTCCTAATCGCAGCCATGATGCAGCCCCGTCATCATGGTTAATATTGTTGATGCAACCACATCATTGTTCTTTATATTGTCGTTGTCGCTCACTTAGTAGCGATCATCGCTGCGGTCATCTTTACATCAACTTAAACGCCTACCTCTGCGACACACATTGATAGACGCTCGCGGGTCTGTCTGGCTCGGGCGACTCAAGCGACACTCGGCGAGACGCGTGTTGTCAGCGGCCCAGCTCAGGTGACACGGACCGAGAAGCGCACAGCGCGGCGCATTGTGCGGACCGGTCCGTGTCGCTGGCAAGCGGTCTGGACCGGTGCGCGGTACCGGCTGAGTCACGTTCCTGACTCGGGCCGCCCGCCCGGGTTGGTTCGGTGTAGTGGTCCACTCGGCGTGGTCACACCAAGTCTGTGCACTGTGCACCAGTGACGCAATCTGCACTTGGACGAATGGGTATGGACCCGCAGGAAGCTGCTTGAGAGGAGAAATGTGAGCGGGAGGAAGGAGGCCTCTGAGCTTAGCTGGAGGCTCCGTCACGGCCAATGGCATATCGATGCTGATCGAATTTGGAATTCGGAGTGAAGGGAGAGACGGCGTGGCCCGGGGCGCCGCCCGTGGATTTGACTAATGGTCGGGCGATAAAACCGGCCAGCAAAACCCGTTTTCGAGTCCCACGCGACCAGCGAGCTATTTCGGTATGCCTGCGCTGCTCCCTTGGATAAGCCGCGTTTGGAAGCATAAGACAGCGTGGCTTTAATTTACGATATGTCGCCCCAAAACACAGCGAGATGTGTTCTCGATTGTCGTTTTTATTAGAAAAATAATTAATTTACAAACTTATTTGCATATTTCTTTGATGTGTCTATCCGATTCGTTGTCGATTTGCGTATGAATAAAGAAGAGTTCAGATTCGAAATCTTCGGACATTTTTTATTATGCATGCAGTTTAATCACCCTATGTTAAGTTTTAGCTGCGATTTATTTTACAGGAGTCGGGGAACACCTTACGGCTAAATTAACTTCCCGCCCCTACGCGCCACTTGCCGAGCTCCGTAGGTAAATTTAATTAGTTTGCAGCAACTGGTCCGTTGATGCTCTTGGTCGCACTGGTTATTTGAGCTAATGCTAGCTCGGTGGCTGTGCCCAAACAGCCCAACCCGGCCTCGGCCATTGAACACACGCTCACTCTCTCCGCGTGCGATGAAGACGGCGCACTCACTTTCAGCACTACGGTACTGACAATGAAGCGAGCGTGCGTGGCCTGGTTTGTACGTTTTTGTCCCACGAAGGTCGACTCTGACTGAAGGATTGGGGTGCGCGCATTTAATCGATTCTGCCATTGTCTGAAGATGTCCTTCCAATGCAGAATGGGCTGAAGCACGCTGGGTATTTAGGCCAGACGGAGACATCACTGAGATGGTCTAAGCGGCGAAAACCACACGCTCTCTCCGTCTTCACTCTACCGTTACATCTCTGATAGTGCCGATGCCCGATACCCTATAATACGGGGTGTTGTGGTTGCGGCCCCAGCTCCGGCGACCCCACACAGTGCTGCGTCTCGGCCGAGGGGATGGGATGCAGCGTCACTGACCATAACACCTGGCTGGCCGCCGGTCACGCGCGTCCAAGCCGTATCAGGCCAGCGCGGCAGCGGAACGGGCGGCGTCACCCTGCGACCACCCAGGACCGGCCGGCGGCCGCCCCCGCCCCCGCCCCCGCCAGTGCCGCCGCCCGCCGCCCAGCCGACCCGCCCGGTAAAAACTGTATGGCCGTAATTTTCACCCGATCTCCTGGCGGAGAAAAACGCGCCCGAACGCCAATTAAATAGGGCAAGCCGGATAATACTGGAGCAATTTGGCCGGTTCGGCTCGGGCCCCGGCTATCTTCTGATTGCGCTTTTGACGTACACCTCGATTGGCTTCGGACCGAGCAATGGCTAATGGCTGGATTCGGTGGCCATAAAGAAGATTCTTTAAGCAGCCTCTGACTTGGCTCGGCCCGGACCTGAGGAGGCAATCGAAAAATGACCTCATGGGGTGAGCTGACACCGTACTGAAAACCCACCGGAAACTGACCTGATGTGACCCAGGGCAATTATTGGACACGCGAGATGAGACAAATGTGTTTGTCTACGTCTGTTCAAGAGCCTTTGTACTTTGTAGGGAGCTGTATCATATTACTTTGTTACCAATGCGAGAATTTTGCTCAACAACAGATCCGATAGATGAAAAATGCATTGCCAGTGCTGCTTATCGTCATTGATAAGATGGAAAACACTGCAATGAATACCCATATCTTAACCCTCGCACGACCAGGCCATTTCTCATAACACGAACGACCAGGGGGGGGGGGGGGGTTGTTACGACCCCCCTGGCGTTTCGAAACGGAAGGTCGTAGAGCTTAGCGGAAAAAACCAACGGATTGCTCTCAACGAGATCTTGCGATTGATGGTATATTTTTTGGTCCTAGGTCAACATTTGACCTACTTATGACCGGTCAAAGGTCAAATTTTCCGAAAAAATCAAACTTTTTCAACTTTCCGCGGCGATTGCGGCAAAACGGTGGGAGATATCGACTTGAAACCTTCACTATCGTGTTCCTTGATCAATTCTCTATCGTTTGGTATGTATTTCGTTTCCCTAGCTCTAAAAATGGCGCGTTGGGAGCGCCGGAAGTCGGCAAGGTCACAGTCGGCGGCAGAAATTCGAAAAATCAAAATTTAAATTTTTGAAATCTGATTGTATTTTTGGATTTGGGAGGTCCATTTGCTCCCTATAGAAGCTAATATTGCTGCATATTCCCATTGAGGTGACAAGAATTAGCAAAATAGTGGTTCGGGCGCTTTTCAAAAATAGTACCGGACGCTGTTCCTCTTGTGACGTCATAGCTCCGTGACCTGACCTGACCCGGTCAATTTTATTGCACCACACGATAGCCAATGCTTGCCCCAACATGCATGGGAAGTTTCATCATGATCCATCAAACAATGTGGGTATCACCGGCAGAAAACCTAGGGATTCGGCGCACACGTTTGGTAACTGTCGGCCGGAGGCTGTACCTCTTATGACGTCATAACTCCGTGACCTGACATGACCCGATCAATTTTTTTCGGCAAAAGATGCGCAAAGGTTGCCCCAGAGGGTATTGAAAATTTCAGCCCGCTACGACAAGCCGTTTAGCGTGCACTTCGAAAAAACCTCAGGGGGGGGGTTGATACAACCCCCCCTAGGCGTTCTAGGGTTAATCACCCGATGTAACCTCATTGATAAAACTGACGACTGATCGGGTGCCATGGTGACGGTCGTACCAAATCGGTAAATCCCTTCCAGCTCATCTGACATGCTTTTCTTTTTCAGTACTGGCTGGATCCACAAAAGAAGGTCGTCAGGCAGCTTAAAGGTAAGAACCTGCCGAGTATGTGTATACATGCGCATATTTTAATCAATTCAGATGCTAAGTCATTCATTTGTTGCCGCAACGTCAGCAAGATTCACTTATTTGGGATGCCTGTTGCGATAGTCTTGCAGACAACTTCGTTTCATTGTGGCATGGTGACAGACAGAATGTGCCGATAATTCTAAGGGGTTTCTCGGTTTCCCAATTACCTTCACACTGGAGTTGCGGAATCCTCCGTATCCCCATGAATGACATTAATTCCGATGGTACCTAGTTTTTTTTTTTAACACAGAGCGACTGTTATGAAATTGAAAAAAACTTGCGGTTTCTTCGGATATCGTTCTAGTTATGAACACTGCATGATATTGTTCCGCGTCAAACCCTATTTAGACCTATTCATTTCTATCAAGTTTATCCATGCAGGTCGGCCAAATGGTGTTATAGAGACCTGCTGAAATATCCACTCGATATTTATCTTATATTATGCAATCCAGAACTCGGTCACATCCACGAAGTCACCGCTGTTTCCACATATCAGTAGCGTCATATTCTGAACTTAGCACTGCATATAACAGAGCGAGTGGGCTACCTCCAGTGGCAGTGATGCCCGTTTTTTTTTTTCGCCGGCGCTGGGCGTCGCCCGTCACTGTGTCACACGACATCAAAGGTGCCGCCTGTCACGACCGACCGCTACGGGGCGGAGCCGCCTTTTTACTGCCGCCCCGCGAACAGCACAGGCGCCATCGATAAATGACAATCAACGCCGAAAAAGTTGAGTGATGAGTCGGTCATAACGGCCCCTGACGTTCGCTGCGAGGGTGGTCTGGCGACTGGCGACGGCCCCTCACTTGGCGTATAATCCCCGCCGCGTCAAAACTGAATAATATTCCGCAGGCGTGTCAGGTTACAGGCTGCTGAATTATGCAATGCCAATAAAGAAAATACAAGGTTACAGCGAGTTATCGTAATGACTGTTGCCTTTAAATACCTATGAACATACCATACTTGGATGTTGCGCAAGTTTCTATTAGCGCCAGAGAGTTAGGTATGTAATGAGCAGAGATCTTATATACATCCAGCCACCCTAGAAAGTGGCCATGTTCTTTGCTTTGCCACGAATTGCATGAAAATACGCTGTTTTATCGGTGGCTTCTTTGATCTATGTAATTATCGCAAGGCCATCCTGCCTAAGGGAACAAGGAAGGCTAAGCTGCAAATCCGCCGAACTGCCTCAACCGCGGCACGGCATTGTTGTACCGCGCTATGATATGTAAATTGGCTCGGTTTTAGTTTGCTCGCAGCCCGCCAGCAGAGGCTTGGGCCTAATTTGTCGTCATTAGGCGCTCGGCACAGCCGAAATCAGCAGTGAAGGCCTGCCGAATACCACAGGCACGCCCCACACACCATCAATGATCTAACCAGATTAACAGTGTACCAGGCCTAATCTCGCATCTGCTCCCGTTTTAGCGTGTATCTACATCAAAGCCGGCGCTCTAGCCACATACATACATGACTGTAGCAACTGGAATGAGACATGGATAAACATTAAACACGCCATTTGCCTGTAAAGAAACGCGAAGTTTCTGGAAACGAGATGCTACTAATATGCCAATTTAAAGGCTCGTAAACGCGCCACAAGAATGCACAAACGCCGACAAATAAGAAGGAACGGGCAGCGTTGCTGATTGTGGTTTTCGAGCATGCCCTCATTTGGCAGTTACCATCTTCTGTGATGGAATATTATGCTATTTTTTTAGACACAAGACAGATGCATAAATGCATCTCGCTCTATAGATAATTTCATGCTGCGATAACCGTTCTTTATAACCTCTTTTGTCTCGTTTCAGATACTGACCCGTTCACACTGTACTTCTGTGTCAAGTTTTACGCAGCGGATCCCTGCCGATTGTTGGAAGAAATCACCAGGTAAACAGGATATTTTTTCTATTGGGAGCCAACGCTGTAACCGTGGTCCTGTCATATACCTATGCAATTGCCATGCATAATCTGTCGATGCCCGGGCGCTCACGTTCGTGTGAATGTTGTTTGTTGATTCACAGGTACCAGTTTTTCCTGCAAATTAAGCAGGATATCCTGGAAGGCCGTCTGCCGGTCACCCCGGAGCTGTCGGCTGAACTGGGTGCGCTCGTCATACAGTGTAAGTGTGCACCACCTCTCTATAGATTTAAGTGCATAACACTTTTGCGCCAATTGCCTATGCTAGTTATGAATTTTGTGAATAAATGCTCTCTCTCTCTCTCTCTCTCTCTCTCTCTCTCTCTCTCTCTCTCTCTTTCTCTCTCTCCTCTCCTCTCCCTCTTTTTCTTGGTCCTTTTTTTCTGTTGCTTATGCATACTGAGAGATTACTGACTAGTCCTGCCTCTCGCCGTCGGATAATATGCACAAACTGGGCGGTTGACGTCATGGTCAGACATCAAACCGATGCCGTCACTGTGCACAAGTGGGTCCGGTTATCTATAAGAACCTTGGGTCCGGTGACTTCATTGTCGAAGCTCGCTCGCACCTGCGCGCATTGGACCTCGGTCACATGCTCACGGGGACATGCCATCTGACAGATCCCAACCGTTAGAAGTTGGTTCAGTGCAACTGCAGTCGGTAGGTCTGTATGACTGGGCACCTTTTATAGGCACTGCTGCGCAGCCAAGTGATTTTAAGTATCTATGGTCCTGTTTGAGTGCACGCACAGCTATCACTGTTGCGTATGGAGCGATAATTGTTTTTGTCCTCTTGGTTTTATCCCACCAGTGTAGTCTTCTCATCTAAAATAAATCTCCCCTTCACAGCGGAGCTGGGCGACTATGACCCGAAGCGGCACACGGATGGCTATGTGGGCGAGTTCCGGCTCTTCCCCAACATGACACCAACACTGGAGGAGAATATCGTCGAGTACCACAAGACTCTCGTGTAAGTACCGAACAGGCGACAGTGATTCGGACGGTACACCGAACTGCTTGTAGTAGACGACTGTGACTTGCAGGAACGCATTGGATGTTGTTGAATGATAAATGCAATTCATGTTTGACACAGTAGCACAGGTGACGTAGTATTTTCTGATGCGTTGTCTGTGCCTAGCTGTAGCTGGTAACATCCAAGGACGGAACACTGAAACCAGTGCACCTGGACACTGGACAGTGCAGGTGGTAGCAATGATACTTTTGTGCAGAACGAGGTCAAGGATAAATCATGACAACTACTGAAGGCAGTTAAGTTTAGCTGTGCAGACTGATACCGATCGATATCGACTCTACCGTGTCCAACAGTGGGCGAGTGCCTTCAGTGGTGGAATTCAACTACCTAGAGAAGGTCCGGTGGCTGGAGATGTACGGCGTCGACCTGCACCCGGTGCTGGTGAGTGCGTAGATCCTGTGACGTATTGCCGGCTATGACGGGGGCCGTGTGGTGCGTGACCGTCGGGCTTGGAATGGTCACGTCTCTGGAGTCAGAGACAGGGACATTCCTGGCCATCTGACAACAGGACCGTGGGGATTTTACAACACAGGACTGGGAGGTGTTGCGGCGACACGATCTTTTCCAGCCTCGACGTCTACCGTTTTTATTTGATCACATCTTCACATTTTTTGTGACATGCTAGCAAACATGGCCTACTGCATTACCACATTACCAAATGAGGCAAAACATTTTATCTCCAGAAACTTTCACTCTAGATAATAAGATATCCACTATTTTTCTTTACTGACATGCGCTTCTTTATCTTCTAGGGCGAGGATCATACGGAATACTTCATTGGCCTGACCCCCGCTGGGGTCATCGTTCTCAGGGGCAAGGTCAAAGTCAGCAACTATTTCTGGTATGACTCAACAAACTGCGGAATTGGTGCTAGCAGATGACTCATGCATTTGTGTTTTCCACGTTGCAGTTGTTGTTGCCACCACTTGCCATGTTTCCCCTGAAGAAATTAGTCCTCGGGAACGTCTTGTCCTGTTTTCTTTTTCAAGTGAGCTGTGAAAACCGAGTACAGGTTCTGTATAGAATGTGATTCCATCGCTGAACTATTTCCCACGTAGCCTGGTTGCTGTTTTCAGACTTATTTGGATGTAGTTTGAACAAGGAAACCCTGTTGGGAGGTGGCGATAAGCTCCTGTTCGTTCCATGGGCCTCACGAATGACATCAGGGGCGGCTGGCAAAGCAGCAGCTACAGACATTGTTTCCTTCAGCTGTGCTCCTCATTCACAGGCCGAGGATATCAAAGGTGCACTTCAAAGGGAAATACTTCATGCTCCGTGTACGAGATAAAAACGTAAGTTTTTTCAACGAGTCGATTTGGCGAGGAAATGTCTCTTATGTCGATATCGTCGCTGCCTGTAGCGTTAAAGTAGCATCAAACGTCTACCTTAGAATGATTACATTTTTAACTTTACGTGAACCTTTTTGGAGACTGCAGCATCAAATAGTTCTTAGTTCGTTTGATATTTAGAAAATATTTTATCGGTGATTTTAATGGTCAAATAAAAGTTTTGACTGACCGCTTTTCCATCATGTTTGGTAATATATTCACATGACGTCTTAGTAGAAAAAAATTAACTTTATGACCTTTTTCTCTGTGTTTTTTCCCCTAGAACGAAGAGAACACCTATGGGTTCGAGACACCATCGAAAGATGCGTGTAAACACCTGTGGAAGTGCTGTGTGGAGCACCACAGTTTCTTCCGCCTGGTACAAGTCAGTCACCCGAGCGGTGGCAAAACCCTCTCCATCGGCTCCCGGTTCCGCTACAGGTAAGCCAATGCAACTTTCACTGAGCGAACCCAACGAAAAATAGGGGAATTGGCACCAGGACTTGAACCCGGTATTTACGAATGCTTGGATTTAAAATTGTGCCGAAAAGGACATATACCGGTATGCCGGCTGTATGTAAATATTCGAAGGTTTTTATCTAAATCGTCCTAGATCCTTATCGCTAATGGAAAGCGCTCACACAAAGCCAGCGTGTGGTGTTTTTGTCGCGGTTGTATTTCATATGCTCCCGAAGACAAATCGCCTGTTCTCCACCCACATCGAAAAAAGCACAAGGACGGCATTGTGTGCTACGCCTCGAGCTGTTTCTCTCGTTCTCTTACTCTCTCGTTTTCTCTCCCTCTATCTCTCTCTCGCTCTGGCTCTCTCTCTCTCTCTCTCTCTCTCTCTCTCCCCCCCCTCTCTCTCTCTCTCTCCCCCCCTCTCTCTCTCTCTCATTCACTGCCTTTTTGTCTGTGTTTGCCTATGCCTCTTTCTGTCTCTTCCGTGTCGTATCGTCTCTGCTCTCCCTCTCTATTTTCTCCCTACCCATCTATCTCTCTCGTCTCTCTCTCTCTCTCTCACTCTCACTCTCTCTCTCTCTCTTTCTCTCTCTCTCTTTCTCTCTCTCTCTCTCTCTCTCTCTCTCTCTCTCTCTCTCTCTCTCTCTCTCTCCTCCCTCCTTCCTCCCTCTATTAAATTATAGCTTAGGCATTCTTTGTTGCCAGTATCTAACGAACTCCACAAATCTTCTTCCCCTCTCCCCCTTCTCTGATCCCTCCATTCACCACTGTGCATATCAGCTGCTCTTTTGCACACGGCTGCTCTTCTAAACAGACAAGCTTTGAGACGAAGCGGATGCAGGGTATCGCGCGAGCGATCTAATGATTGCAAGCTGTAAAAGCAACGGCAATGGGGAGGGGTTCTCAACCAACGATCGCCTCAATAACGCTTGCTATCGCACGTTGATCGCCTTTCAACTGTTACGCTTCCTGCGTAACTCACTGTCGCATGCGTTACGTGACGGTCGTAAAAAGAGAAGGAACCGCGCACCGAAGGATTCAGCTACGCACAGGCTCAGCCACTGTCGTCTATCACTCTCTCCAGCTCCGTTTTGTTGGCTATAGAATGTAGATGTAGCGTAAATAATTCGATTATCTGATTTGCTTGACATAATATTTATTATTTATTCACATCTCTCCGCTTCTTTTCATTCGCTCATTCGCTCGCTTCTCCGAGGAAGAACACAGCCTGCGATTATATAATGAACTCATGCCCTTACTTCAATCTAGCGCCTTTCCACCGTCGTTCTGAATCCCCCGTTTTTGGATCGCTGTGACCGAGGCGGCGGCTCCGTGATGACATCACCCCGTTTCCTCGGGGTTCGACCGTTCGCGGCCGACCGCCAGCGCCGTCCGGGGGCTGAGCTGACCGCTCGTAAAACGGCCACTCGCTCCAACCCGGAACAAAACGCGGCCACGGCGGCAGAGGCGGCGGCCGTCAACGGCTGCTCGGCACGGCGCCGGGCACGAGTACCGAACGGGCGGCTCACTGAGTCGACCGGGTCCGGTTTTCGGAGCGGCGACCTTTTATGCCGGCAGCCAACGTTAATGTCCTGGTACGATTTGTGTGCAAAACGGCGAATCGCGGCGCCGCGCGGCCATTCCCACGGGCCACGCGATCGAAAGGGAGGGTAGAGTGAGGTGGCTTGCAACATCCTGAACTGGGTTCTTCAGAAGCCCGAAGCGAACTGAACACTCACCTGACTCGACGGTCCGCCTGGTGCTATTCGAGCTGCCAACCTTCAATGAAAGTCCTGTTCTAGTCTGCCGTGCACTCCTGCAACACGGGTAAACACATCGGAGCCACATTGTTAGCCACGTGTTGGTTTCAATGTCACCACTGTGAAAAAGCACGAATGGCGGTATGTTTGGTGCTAATCGTAAACACGAGCAGGGTGAACGTTAGCATTAGGTGCCGAACGGGGACGGGTGTCACAAGGCGCCAGGCATAGAGCTTCGGATTTGAAGTCACGGGACACAGGGTGCCGTTACAGAACACCTTCACAGTTGGGCGGATGCAGGGCACCGAGAGAATAAGAAGGTTACATAGCCGGCGGGGGTAATGCGGAGGGATATCAACATAAAAGAAGCGAACAGTCGGCAGAGAAGACAGAAGCGTAGAACTGATGGGCTCTAGGAGATGAGGGGCGGAGAGTCGGCCGTGCCCGGCGGCTGTACTCCTCTCCGGTAGGCGGGGCGCGGCGGCACGGAGCGGCCCGGTGCACGCGGCGTGCACCCGGCTGTGCACACGGGCCGCCGGTGCACCGTGTCCGGCAGGTAGCGTGGCTCGAGCCGATCGGTCTGCCGGACGCTGAGGGCCACACCGGCGGCGGCGGTGGCTGCAGAGTCGAGTCGACCCCCGGGCGCCCCTGGGTGGGCGCCCGGCGCCCGTCGCCGCTCGGTAGGGTCTTCTGGTGGAATTGGATGGTGCGTCGTAAAGAATATAAGACGCTAGGCCCACTCCCGGGTGAGAATGATGTATTCAAATTTTGATATGAAACCTGAAACGTCGGCGTAACCTTGACATTGGAGTGGGGATTATTAATTGTTAATTATTGTAATCCCCAGTACACTGTCAAGGTTACCCCAACTAGAACCATCCCTCGATTTTGCAATTATATGAGTCATTCAGTATGGCTGCTGTCTCACTTTATTCGAGCTACACAGGGACGTGCATAGGCAATACCTATCCATGTTACTAAAATGACTGACGTCGATCGACAAATTCTGTCATATTTCAGCATTTCGATGAAAACGATTTCATTCAAAGTCCAAACCCTCTCTAACGATGCAAGTTTTAACGTTTGAGTCATATTCGGTTGTAACAAGGGGTGATTGGCCTCAGGCCGGGCACGTCGAATATTTATCATCACACCATCGCCTTTTTGGACCGGTGAATATACTTGACAATGTGAATCAGAGCTTGTTGACAACGGAGCTACATGTGAATGGCATGATAGGGTAAATTGTATGCACCATGTTCTTCCTATCGCTGCGACTTCCAAACTTTCCAGATATACCATTCATGCTGTTTTCATGTGAGTTACATTTGCATGCACAATGCTATAACGGGTCCATCTCTGGGTGGCGTCTACCCGCATGGTTGCTGAAACATTGAAATCCATTCTGTCCTGTTTCAGCGGCAGAACTGAAAAGGAGGCCCAACGGGAGGCTAGTCTGCACCGGCGACCGCCACCCAGCTTCAGCAGGTCATCCAGCAGGCGGTCCAACACGTCCAGCCGTGCCGGCGACAGCTCACATCGTGGTCAGTTTCCAGTCTCAAAATACGGGATGCACCCCTTATCTTACCTGTACACCCAGCCACACTCACCAATTATCTTACCATCCATCCCTCTTTACGCCGAGTGATAGGACCGCAGTTCCTCGTATACCAAGCCCGGCCTCTCATCTTGCCTCTTCCGTACTATTTCGTGAGGGAATTAACGAGATCTGACATAATCTGCGGAGAACATATCACAAACCGGGCTGCACGGACGCTCAGACCGATGCGGGGCGGGGGCGGGCCTCGCATGGGGCCAGCGTGATTCTTTGGCCGCTGATCCGGCCAGTTTGGTTGACTTTGTGGGGCCACCGTCACTGACCGGGGAAGCTGCGGGGAACATTGAGGCGGCATTGCGGGCGTATTGCCGGGGAACATTGGGACCGGCTTTATTTTACCGAGTGTCGGGGGGGGGGGGGGGAGAATCCACGGGGAACATCGGGACCGTCGTGGTAGTTTTAAGCACAGGACAATCTTTCGTGACGAATGTATGCGATCGGTGATAGTTTCTCACCAGTCGGTCCGTGAGATCCGGTGCTGTCATTGTTCCGAATAGCTGGAAGCCTTGGACACATCCGGAGCTCCCGGAACGTGAGCACGTTCCGACAGCACTGTCAACAGCCACCGCACGGTGGAGCGCTTCTTGAAATGTCATGCATGGAAGTAAAGGGGCGGACTGTGTGGTCGGCCGAACGAACTAAATACGGTGTCATTATAACACTTATCACGGGGTATATCTAAAGCAAGGTGTGGGCACAATTATTGTAACACGCAGTGCCGCACCATCACATAGGACGCTGCTTTTCTTTTCACTTGGCTCCTTTAACTTCGGACACTTTGGTAACTATCCCTAGTATGTGAGAGAGATCTCACGCCATCGAATGTTCCTAGGAAAGACCGCCTGTCTGAGGCGCCGTGGGCTGGGCGGCGCGAACGGCAGCGTTAGGGGGAGTGGCCGGTGCGGGCCGGCCCGCCAGCGTTCGGCACACATCAGGCCCCATTTGGGACGGCTATGAGGTCTGCCAGTGCCGGCGGGGGCGGCGGCGGCCACGGCGGAGTGTCGACACTCGCGGCGCGGCCGGCCCGCGGCGCCGTATTATGCTAATTCCGGCATTCTCGGCCGAGTGTGGGAAGTTTTCACCTTCACTGTCTGCCGCGAGACGGACAGGTGAAGTCTGAGGGCCCGTGTCCGCCCGCCCGACCAGCCACACTCTCTTTACACACCTGACACCTCCCTGGCCTGAATTCGGCGCGCACCTGTCCAGCGGAGGCTCGTGTAACGCGCCTGGCAACGCACCTGTGCCTTGAGGACAATGTACGACATGTCCGTGTTTTGTTACCGCCAAAAATGCCCATCGGAGCACTTGCACCCGCTCTGTGATCGCTTTACGATGGTTACCGTCGCTGAAAAACTGGTTCCAGACAGGAATTTATTCGGATGTAGGGAAACCGCGCGTTAAAACTACTCATGTCAACGATAATCGTTTTAGTAATCGGCTCGGAATTTCCTGCTCTCTGATAGAGCTGTTGAGCATAGCTTGTGCTGCTCCTAAGACAACATTTCAAATTGTTGAGAGTTTGGGGAAAGCAAGGATAGCGACCTTTTCTCGACATCAACAAGTTCATCCAAATCATTCCAAAAAATATATTTTTTTATTATGGATTAAGAGTACAAGTTAAAGTGGCGGTACAGGTGCTTGAACTCATTTATTCCTCCTAAATGTCATGGATATTTAGTCAAAATGCACGTAAAATCGTTAAAAACTTTATCTCCCGTATGTAAATCAGGTGTCTGGTATTTCCAACGCAAATCCATTCTTGCATTTAAAACACACGGAGTGGTAAATATGCCTGGCCTAACCACTTTTGCACTTCAAACATATACAATTCACATGTGCTTTTTAACGTTTTCGCCGTTCGAAACTAAGAGCAAAGATACCATTTGTAAGACTGATATCGTGTGGCGTATGCGCTAATTATGTACCTACGTACATTTAAACAATGCCTAAAAATACGTATATAACACTTTCTAGAATCAATTGAATATTGAAAAGCTAACGTCTGGACTCTGGTTTTCCCGTTTTTCAGTTCATCACCGAACGGATGACGACGCTGACAGGAGATCTCTGTGTCGGACAGCCCTGTCCATCCCTCAGCCTGTTCAGAGGTAAGGGGGAGGGGAATAGGGAACGTTCACTGCCGTAGTTACCCCCATAACAAAAATCAACTTACAGAACTAGAGAGTGGCTGAATTGTCGGTGAAAAACTCTGTTTGTGTTTTGCTATTAGCGGGTTTTTACCGTAGTATTATACCGTGGTATGTATGCGGTTTGATTACGATGGCCATGTTAAGAAAGGGCACACACAAGCACTAATTTGCATTGTTCAGAGTTAATGAGGATGTAATGAGACCATTTTCACTCTCATTCATTGGTGAATTATGTGTGAGAGACCGGAAGTGCTTAGGAGTTACTGATCTCAGACGATATTTACCACAGGCGCCGTGGGAATGGTGGCGAGGCTATCCACACCACAGTTTCACGGTCCAGTGACCACAATGAAAGAGGTGGTGGCCTGATTGAGCCAAAATCGCCGTGGAATTGCTTGCAAATGGGGCTGCTATAGCCGTTCGACGCCCAATGACCTGGGCCATTGAGTCATGTGTGCTGTTGGAGTGTTCACTGTTCATGTCATTTGTTTGCTAACTGAACGTGAGTTGTGTGTGACCTGACCTGAGACCTGGCTATCGACCTCTAATGTGACCCTTCATCTGACCTCCCATGTGAGCTTTTATGTGACTTCCCATGTGACCTGACCTGAGACCTGACTATTGACCTATTGCATAACCCTTCATTTGACCTTCCATGTGACCAGCCCCATGAACCGCCATGTGACCTGCCTCTGTGTCCTTCCCCTTAACTCACCCTGTGACCTGACCTGCCCTCTCGCCGTCAGCATGTCCAGTATGTACCGGGCGAACTCGATGACTCTCCAGTCGCAGTCTCGGCCGGACTCCCCCCGCTCGGTGCGGTCGGCTCCGTTCTCGGCCAACCAGGTCCCTGCGCTGTTCAACAACAGCAGCTCGCTGGGTCGGCCGAGGCGCAGCGCCAGTGTTGAGAGCCAGTCTTCGGTGGACAGCCGCACCCAGCGCAGGTTAGATGAATGAGAGTACTGAGGTGAAGAGTAGATAATGGTCAGTGCACTGGCCTGGCGGAAGGGGATCATAGGACAGCTATACGAAGCGCAGGTCAGATGACTGACCGGGCTGGGGAGGAGCTATTGGCTGTCCGAAAGGGATCGGTGAATAGGCCTTGATGGTGGAGATAAGGCATTAGACAGAGCAAACTTAGGGCTAGTGGATAAGCAGGGTGGGGCGGTCTTCAGCATAAGGAACTCACGCCAATAAATGATTCAGTGAATGTACGCCATCCGTATCTGTGCAATGAAACGAGATATTTACCGATGCTAATACTACCGTCTGATCAATGACCATCACCCTTCTTCTCCTCCCTCCCTTTCAGGCATCGACACCGGCGCAGTTCGGGTAACGACAGCGACGCGAGCTCTGCGCCGGGATCGTCACGGGCGCACCGTAAACACCGCCACCGACGACACGAGTCGGGCTCCGAGTCGGAGAGAAGCAGCAGCGGCCGGCGGCACCGCAGCCGGAGGCACAGGTCAGTAGACCTCGACACAGCGACAGCGTTCAGTAATCCAGCAGTATACGGACGGTCAATAAGCCACCAGCGGACGAGTAAGAGAACTAGGTGGGGAGGGGAGCGAAGATGCTGGGAAGAGACAGATGTGATCAAACGATGGTCTAATAAATCGAGACGGTAGAACTGAATGGTACCTAAAGTACGAGCATATCAAGGCGTACGTACGTCACAGCGCTACAACAGTAAATCAAAGCGTGTTACAGCGTGGTGAGGCGAACTCAGCGGGCTGTACTGAGTGACCGGACATAGCTGTGACTACATAATTAGATCGGAATGTCAGAACGTGTCTCGCTAGCGTGTGCGATACGGACGCTTTTTGAAATAAAGCCGTCATCAACTGGTTTAGGATGTCACTTTTCGCGAGTGTTTTGCCAGAATCGCAGGTCCATGCGCCGTTGAACGTTCAACCGATGCTAATGATATTTGCTGTATTTCTATAATACAGTACCTTTATATTTAAAAAAGTTTCACTTACCTGTCCATGCGCCGTGTGGATAAGAAAGTCCTACTCAACGCCATCAGATTATTTCCCTAGCGAACCTAATCGACGACCTTGTGGTCATGGTAATCTTCTTTCCACGCATGGCTTGTGATCCTTGTAATGTACAAAATCATGATAATTCGCTCATGATATACTTCACTAGCCAGACACGAACGCTTAATTTTCCTGTATTAAAGCGTGTGGAGTCATTATGAAAGTGGATGTTATTTGATCCAGCCGACACAAACGTTTTGTTTGTTCTCTTTCTTATAATTCAATAGCTAATCCGATAAAGATCACACTCACAAAGACTGTCCTGGAAGGCGTATCCTGACATTTCACCATTCTCGTTCGTTTCCAGGCACCACGGTTCCAACTACGAGCTGGTCGACTCGGAGGCACAGTGGCGAGAGGTTCAGCGGCGGCAGGCGGAGGGCTCACTGGCCGCCCCCGCCGCCGCCCCCGCCCACACGGCGCCCGTCGCCCAGCACCGGTCCGGCTACCTCAACTCGGGCATGGAGACCGAGTCGGAGCTCTCCTACCAGCCCAAACGGCGGGTCCGGAAACACAGGTTAGTCAGCGAAAAGCTGGGCGTGGAATGGGGAACGGGGACCGTGTATTGCATTTATACTTTAATAATAAAGGACAGTTTGAGGAGTAGGTATGATGCATCTGCTTCTTTTTTATGTTAGACCTGCTTCATTCATATTTTTTTCGCGTAATGTACAACCAGCTAACAATTTACAGCCAACACGCTTCTCTGTGGACAAGAAAAGGTGTAATTTTTTTCCTTGGCGGCTCTAACAATTTTCAACTGCACGGTCCCTTCCTCGTGCTGGTATAACGGTAAGCAGCATGCTGCATCACACATTCGTAATCTTCAGTTTTGTTGTTGCAACGTCTCTCAGCTTATGTCGAGAAAAGCTTTACTTAGCTATGTCAAGTTATAACTTGACTAGAGTCATCACACTCGGCACATGTCATGTCACTGTCTTTATGCATTACAAGCCGCGCTCTGCGACGATCAAATGACTCAATTACGCTCCTCAGAGCCGTCACGATTGCAATGACTGAGGCCTGAGCTGCCTGTGAAGCAATATACTACTCGAAACACGGTATACGTCGCTTTAGCTCGAGTTAAATCGAACTGATGCCTTCTGATCGGCCCTATATGGGTGTGATACGGCATTAGCATTGCAAATGGCGATCTTGGAGGGCCGAGTGCATGGGCTCTGAACGGTTGTGTAACGGTGACAGGGCCATGAGAGGACAACCGGATCACTTGGCATGGAGCCAGCTCACAGGGAGAGAGCCAAGGTTACTACTGACTGTAGGCCAACCGGGTGCAGTACGGCTTCATTCATGACGCTAATGAATAGAGGAGACACCACGGTGAAAGCTTATTACAAAACGGCGTTTTTCTCTTGTAAATGGCGTGATGTAGTTGAATTACCGAAAGTTTTAAACAACTAGAAGCTGAGTTTGTAATGCATGCTTATATAATGGTGATCACATCACAGCATGCGTAGCAAACATCACAAAATGCATAGGACACTTAGAAGTGCAAATGACATTCTAATCTCATTGTCAATAAAACTTGTTCGAAGACATCGAATACATCTCAATTTACGCGCGGTGTTTTACCAATCTTATTGGATAATGCGCCTTATTAAAACGACATTATTAAAACGACATTATTAAAACGATTCACACTCTTATTAAAACGACAAGCAGCGCCCTTCTGCTTACAAGCAACACCAACTCCTTACACCTCCGAACAATGGATGTCAGATGTGACATGTCCGATGTTGCAACCCAAATCCCACGCAGATACATGAGACGCCATGGACACAACTCATCCTCAAACAATGCAGTACCACAGTCTCCCGCTCCCGGCCGTGCAGTCTGAGCTAATAACGCATTACGTAATGCGGTCTCAGCCGCTCCCTTTGTTACCGTTACCAAGAAATTCGAAATATCGATTGGCGTCGGTCACGACTACTGTGTTGAGCTATGTTGACAGATTTCGCTACCTGACACACACCTGTCAATGACGTAGCCGGGCTGAGAACGCCATTCATAACCGCGTTGCTTGCTTGTATTGTCAGACGGGGTTTGCGTCACCCGACGAGCTTGTAGATATATCGATTTTCTGTGAACCAGTTGTTCAGTGATAATGTGCTTACGTAGGATCCCCCTGCGCTCTATGTGATTGGTGATAAGCGGAAATGATGATCTATCCGAGGAATTATCGGAAAGGGTGGGCTGGTAAGCTAAATTGTGTGTATGCTGGCGTGCCTGTGACTCGACAGGCACGAACTGACATATTTGGAAGATATTTATGACGTATTGTTTGCTCAGCTAATAAAACATGCTGACAAAAATATCGACACCCTTGCTCCACCCCATCGTTCCTCCTCTCTCAAGGCCCTCTCTTTGTCTGTCTTTCATCCTTCTCCAGTGTCTATGTCTCTCTCACCCTTTCTCACTACCCTCCCCTGCCGTCCTCAGGTCACGCTCTAGGTCGCCGGAGACGGAACGCAGTCGTCGCCTGCCGGCTGAGCTGCGGAGACACCTGCAGTTCGAGCTGGTCGACCCTCCGCCGGTGGCCAGCACCGACCCCATCCCCTACACAAGGGTGGAGACGGACGCGAGAATGCCGCGGATAAAGTACGCCGCCAAACGCGTCCAGAAGGATGAGTAAGTGTTTCAGAGTTTTTTGATGGTGCAGGCTGATGTCTTGGGCTACTGTTGTTGGGTGCATTATGATGAGTTGGGCTTCTGTGTCATCTAGGCTTTTCTATAGTTTGTGTTGCAAAGCACGGATGCGATTCCTTTTTATCCATTTGTCTTTGCCCTGTAATCCATCTGACCTGTTGACGTTGTGTGTTCGTGTGTTTGCAGTGTCGGGGAGGGTGCGCCGGGCAGAGCACCGGCCGCCTTCTCCCCCATCCCTCCGGTCTCGTCGTCAGCGGTGGGCTCGGCCAGTTTCACCACCTCGACCCCTCTCTCCACCCACTACTCCGTCCCGCCGTCCCGGCCGCGACCGGTGCCCTCCGGCAGCACCCTGGCCAGCTACTATGTCACCACGCCGGCCGTACCGGAACGGCCCAGCCACACGTCACTGGCCGTGCAGACGGCGCCACTGCCATCTGACGGCCGCGGAGGAAAACCTGTAGTTGGCGCAGCCTCCGCCAGGTACGGCTGGCCTCTGCCGGCGTTTTTTATATGATGGGAGTGGTGTCGGTGACTGGGCTAACTAAGGCTGGTGAGAGGTGAATGATGGTGTATTGTGGAATAGTTGCTATGGGATAGTGCCATAGATCTGTGATGAGTTTGAGCAAAATGGTGCTATTCAAGTGCTATAACTTACTGATTGAATACGAATCGATGGCTGTTTTCTGACATTAGCTTGGCCGAACTATTTGCTCTCATGCATTGCTATTTGCTATTGTATTTATTTTGATTCGAGTGTAGTCACCTCCGTGAATTTGTGCGTATCGAAATTGAAATTTAACTTCAATGCATTGCTATGTCTAAAGGTCTTAATAGTAAGACGGCATACCAAACTTATGAATGAGGAGCATGTAAGCTATAAAACGAGGAGCATTTAAAACGTCAGTCCAACCTAGTATGCATCCATAGTCATTGAAATCTAAAAGGGCTATCAATCAATTTCTTAGTTCACACATGCCAAAGCCCATAATAACGGATCTGATGGTGTATGATACAAGCCACCCTACATCCGTTTCGAGTGTCTACCTAGTACCTACCTCATTTTTGTCAGCTTTCTATCGCACCATATTAGCCAATCATAACAAAAAGAAGCCTGAACTGATCTTTCCGGTAGATATGTCAAACTTCTAGTACTTATTCCAGCTTGACTAACAATAGCAAGTTCTTTAGTCGCATGGAATTAACACCATTCTTGTAACAGATTACTTAGTCGGCGTCTTCCTCAACGGTATCTATAATCAGTCGTTGTGCTCTGCAACTTTTCTGTACTCTTTTTGTATGGCATGCCTGCTGTCAACTGTGACATTGAATATGATGAGGTGCAACCGCAGACCAATACAATGAGTCTTTTATAAGACCGAGATGTGAACGACTAACATTCAGCGGAGGAAAGGGCGCGACCGGGCTTTAACATCACTAACTCACCAAGTAACAACTCTTCGGTAAGTTATTTGCCTTTCTTCTTCCGGTTTGTGCTTCCTCAGTAGCAATGCTATGACGAATGTATGATGTATTCGTAATGGTGCTCGAATTCGCTGAAAATGTCTGCCTTTAGAAACGGAGGCTCTACATAAGCGTACATGAGGTTGGAGAAACTTGCTTATGTGAATGCCTTATAGACTCCTCCCTCGCTCATGCACATTTCTGCTTACTTTTTAGCCCAGTGACCCTAAGGGGGCGCTATGAGCACCCGCAGTACGTCAAACTTACAATGCGTGCTCCAAACGTCATCTTCCATCGCAGCAAACTATTACAACACAGTTCCGTAAGATGTTGTGTGCTTCCTGTAGCTATGCCTGTAGCTGCCTATAGCTATCAATAGCCAAACCTTCATCAACCGTGATGTACGATGGCCTGTTGTCGACAGCTCCCGCGCGGCGGCCGGTCGGCTGGTCCTGCCTGTTTCTCGACATGGACACTTGGCAGCGCCACCAGTCCACCCGGTGGATGCCCATCACGAGCACTCCGACTCCGGCCTGGGAAATGAGTCGCCAAATGAGTTCACCAGGTGAGTGAGATGAGTCACACAGCGAGTTCACCAGGCGAGTGAGAGATGAGTCAGTCCCGTAGAGAGACCGGGATCGATTAAACGGCAATACTGATAATCGTAAAGCTGATCGTAGATCACGCGCTGACGGCTAGCCAAACACTACACAGGAGTCCTTAGTTTGAGTTTTGAGATCGCCTGAAGTCAGACTATGCCTCAGTAGCCGGATAACGCCTGAATCTAGGCTGTACCGCAGTTCCTGATAGCGCCTGAAGTTAGGCTGTGCCGCATTGGCTATATAGCGCCTGAAGTTAGACTGTGCCGCCGTGCTGGAAAACGCCTGAAGTTAGGTTGTGCCGCCATGACTGGAAAACGCCTGAAGTTAGACTGTGCCGCAATGGTTGGATAACACCTGAAGGTAGACTGTGCCGCAGTGACTATATAGTGCCTTCAGTTAGGCTGTGCCGCAGTGACTGAATAATGCCTGAAGTTAGACTGTACCGCAATGGCTGATAGCGCCTGAAGTTAGACTGTGCCGCAGTGGCTATATGGCACCTGAAGTTCGGCTGTGCCGCGGTGGCTAAATAACGCCTGAAGTTAGACTGTACCGCGGTGGCTGGACAACGCCTGAAGTTAGACTGTGCCGCAGTGTCAAGTTGACGCCTGAAGTTAGACTGTGCCGCAGTGGTTGGATAACGCCTGAAGGTAGACTGTGCCGCAGTGACTATATAGTGCCTAAAGTTAGGCTGTGCCGCAGTGGCTGAATAATGCCTGAAGTTAGGCTGTACCGCAGTGGCTGAAAAACGCCTGAAGATAGGCTGTGCCGCAGTGGCTGAAAACGCCTGAAGTTAGGCTGTGCCGCAGTGGCTGAAAAACGCCTGAAGCTAGGCTGTGCCGCAGTGGCTGAATAATGCCTGAAGTTAGGCTGTGCCGCAGTGGCTGAATAATGCCTGAAGTTAGACCGTACCGCAGCGTCAAGTTGACGCCTGGAGTTAGGCTGTGCCGCAGTGATTGAAGATCGACAGAAATTCCGACACAGTCAATGAAATGCGCATATGATGCGGTAGGCTTGACGGTGGAGATAGGAGCGCAATGGAATGGACACTTACGTTTAGTTGGCATGCATTGTGCTATGAAGTGCGATGTGCAGCTGTAAACGTTTCTTGATTTCTGATCAACACTCAGGGTTACATACCAGCGCTATTTATTATAACCTAATGTTTCGATGGTCTCCAAAACATGCTCCCTTTTCTCACTACGGTCGTTTCCTTTCGCAGGATGACGAATGGGTCACCTGTACAGAGCTCTCTGGCCGACGCCCGTGTAAGTAGCGCCTGCTCAGCGGCCGCCGCTGCCACCGCCGCCGCTCTGCCTGCGTCCGCTCGGCTCTCCCACACCGCTCTGCCGCCGCTCTCCGCCTCTGCCTCCTCCCACACTCTGACCGACCCGTTCCGACCGCCCTGCTGGACGGCCTCTCTGCCGCGAAAACCGGCCGCTCCGCCGGCGTATGAGACGGGTTCGCTGCGCCGCCGGCCCGAGCCGCCCTGCTGGCGCGGCACCTCCACCCTACCCCGACCCTCCACCAAGTCCTCAGCGGACATAATCAGCGCGTACACCGGCTCGGCCGCGGCGCGACCCAGTCATGTCATCCTACCTCCCGCGTCATTCCAGAACACCACCCCCATCAGCAGTGCATCCACCACCACCTCGACCGCCACCGCTACCTCCACCGCTTTCACCTTTCCCTCCGCCTCCACCGGCACCGGTAGCGCCTCGAGCGACCCCACCGCCACCACCGCCGCCACCGCCACCGCCGCTAACTGTCCACCAACCGCTAACAGCAGCTTTGAAGGCGGCAGCGCCGAGCTGAACGGCTTTGTCTCGGAGCTTCGTCAGCTGATGAGCGGGGAGGGCAGCGATCCGGCGTGGCCTAGCAGCGACGCCAGCGACACAGCGGCCACGCCGCGCGTAAGTACCAACTCTGCCGGCGACCGATAGGTGGCAGTCGGGTCAGCCGGTCCGCTGCATGCATAGCTGCTTGGGGCGCTACGCTTGGCTGGTGGATGGTGGGGTGGTGGTTGCCGCTGGCGCGGCGATGTCCTAAAGCACTCTGTTTTGCTGTGGAAAATGTGTATACTGACCGAAACTAATGTGTGCGCGTTTTGCCGTGTGATTTCTGTGGGCAAAACAAGACAATTGTGCTGCGAAAATTGTCAGTCTTCTGTCAGAAGACCTGCGTATTTAGTTAACATTTCAATCCTCCGAGCTAACGTCGTTTGTGGTACTGTTGTTAAATACTTTGGCCTTCCTTCCCTTCACTTTCCTTTCACTTGTTGAAATTTCTAAATTCAGGCATTTTTGTTTCTATTTCGAATGGTCATTTTTTAATTTTCATGACAGACGAATGAGTTTGCATGATCCTTAGCTTTTGATGACAGCAAATAATTCAGTTTTGGACAATGAGGTAGATATTTTCAACAGGGAAACCTTCAATGCCTCTTCATCTTGACCAGTTGTGAGGATGCATTAATATCTTGGAGCAGTAAATATACTGTGCCTGCTGTTTTAAACTCACCACAATTCAAAACGAACGCGTAGATCTGCAACATAAACGCAATGCTGTATACCCTAAACTTTAGTTTTATTGTAGCTTTGCATTCTTATATTAATCTCCGGTGTCGCAATAACATTTTACTCACTACAAAGCACTCGAAGGTTCTAGTCAGCCCAATGCTCGTGTCTGACCTGACCCTGCTGACCTGTACATAGCGCCGACCCAGGGTCGCCCGGTGTGTGTACATAGTGCCGCCTCTGTCCGGGGCGGGGGCGGGGGCGGGGGCGGCCTGTGTGTGTGTGACTAACGGCGGACTGGTGCCGCCAGCAGGGGCGGCGGCCGGGCGGGGGCGGCGGCGGCGGCGGCGGCGGAGGCGCGGCGGCAGGCCTCAGCCGAGCGCACCGGTCCGACAGCGCCGGGTCTCTAGAGCTAATACTGACCCCGCTTGTTAATTCAACCACACAGTGAGTAGCCTCCGCCCCGGAACTGACCGGTGGGTGGTGTGTGACCTTAGGTAGTGCATGTCTGCCTGCTTTATGTCGTTCATTGTTTTGTAGAGGTCAACAGTTTTAATCATGGTTTTAACAATCAGAACAAGTTCCTTTGTAACATATTTTCATAACGAGGCGCTGTCGTCGTGTCGCACATGTTTCAGTGGCACCTGAACTTTGACTAATTTGTCATGCATAGTCAAACAGGTCAAACATGGATGAGAACACCCCGGTAGTTTGACCTTAGTCTCATGACCCTGGGTATAAATATGGCAGATACCTACTTAGCAAGGGACAAGGCACATGCGTGATGCATTGTACTTGCAGAAGTAAACGTATGGATTGATATGTGGAACTGTTTTCTTTACATTTCTAAAATCCCTAGTATTTAACATCTGTAACCTATCAAATGCAGATAGTTATTCTCTGTAGCGAAATATCACCTCACATTCTTCAACGCACTGGCCTTAAATGACGCACGAAAGGAAGACTCCCGTTTCGTGCGGACCGTCTCCACAACACTGGCTCAGATCTATGTTTGTTAGAAAACTAACAACTCTTAGCGCTCCCGAAAGTCCACGGAAAATTCGCCCGCTCTCTCGCAACATTATAATGTAGCGGCCCATTTCTCGCAACTCCATTTTATGTTTCAACTTCCAGGGCGGGACACATTTTCGTAAACAAGCCGCGGACACTGGGATGTCGGCCTTCAGTTCGCACAGTGTTTGAGAAACTGGCGTACGGCCATAATTTCGGCTGAACTGGCCGTTCAGTTTTTCGAATCCTCGGTCGCAAATTGCTGTGCGTTAGGGAAACACATCCACTCTTCTCCAACCAGGACCACCTATCCGTTGCGGGTGTGGCCCAAACAATAAAACGATGATATGGTGTGCCGTGAATTATCTTGGGATTTTCTTTTTATGCCGTGATACGGTTTTTCATGCATCGTCTCGCTAATGGAAAAATGATGCTGAAATGACATTCAAGACAAGCATGTTCGAGGCTCGGGGAATTGTTAAAAGTAAAAAAAAAAGATTAACTGACCTTAAGCAGCGTGGCAAGCCTGAACTTTTCAATATTCTAGCGTTACTTGAAATTACAAAGTAATTGCCCCAATATATATATTTTTTTTCTCTCTCTCTCTCTCTCTCTCTCTCTTCTCTCTCTCTCTCTCTCTCTCTCTCTCTCTCTCTCTCTCTCTCTCTCTCTCTCTCTCTCTCTCTCTCTCTCTCTCTCTCTCTCTCTCTCTCTCTCTCTCTCGTTACATTTGACAACAATAATACCTTGAGATTATAGGCGGCGGAACGGGGAGGGCACCGGGGCACCGTGCCTCCTTTGATTTTGGCATTTTAATATTAGTCCTATGGGCGTTGCATGGAAAGAATGGGACCAAAAGTCGGCAGTGCCCCCCCCCCCTCTCAATTGAGTGTGTTCCGCCGCTACTGCTTGAGATCGTTTTTATTCAAGTATTCTGGCCTTAGAACGCCGTTTGAATTTTAAAGAACTTTCAAGCAATTTTGACATAACGTAAGAACGCAAGACACGGTACCTTGTTCTGCAGAAATATGCAGGCAGGAAGCGCCTGCCAAGGCCGAAAGACCACGTTTCTTTTCTTTGTATGTGACCTGATTTGGACCCACGCAGTGCATCGGGAACACGTCCCGACGTTCGGCAAAACAAGCTGCAATGGAGATTTATTGCTAGTCTGAACGGGGGCCATACAAGGGAGACAAACTAGCCAGCTGATGGTATTGGAAAGAAGTTTGACAGGGCGAAATGTAGCCGGCCCGGCTGCAGAACAGCTGACGACCGGACAAAACGCAGATCGATGACGGGGCCGGCGTGATAAATGTAAACTGGAATAAAAACAGCATAACTCCTGTAGGCCTATGGCTCTATTCTTAGAGTCGGGTTCTTTAACGGTTCGGTGGAAAGAACGTACAGAAACGTACAAAACATATGTAACTGTTGGCCTGACCTATGGTTCATATGAGGAATCGGGATACAATGTAAGTGTATCTATCTAGCTATGCTGGTTAAGTAACCAAATCTCCGTAGCACAGGGCGAAGATAACTATAGTAGTATTGACTATGGATAAAATGAAAATGCGAATGACCCAGGAATAGGTATCCACTAGGGTGACCCGCGTGCTCCGCAACGCGAAAAGGGATATTTTCGATCGGCGGGTGTTCGGTTGTTCTTGTGTCGGTTGGGTTATCTATCCATTTCGGTCGATTGCTTTTTGACGGCTAAACGTTTTGGTTTGTGGAAAAAATATCCTTCTTAGAAAGCTGAAACTCTGCTTGAGGCTCATGATGAATAAAATTGATGTAAGAATAACCAGTAACCTCATAATATAAATCTGAAATAGGAGCCAAAAAGTTATATTTAAGATTATCGAATATTTCGCTCCTGGAGCTTCGTCAGCGATAATAACAGAAAAACATATACGTTTTAAACATGGAACAACAAAGAACACTGCAGAATAAATAGCAAACTCATGCTACACTTCGCAAGGGACCGACATTTTTGGCGAAGTTCGAATAGGTACAATATGAATGCATGTATATAGTGTACGTATTTACAATATACACGTATATAGGTACAATAAACAATAGCTTTACATATAGACATAATCGACTACATGTGCATACATTACACATAATATCATCAATTATTCAATTATTCACATGTGATTGTTATTATGTACACTTCACACTATATGTACCCAGAAAAGTTTGTGACGCATTTACATTTTGAATGATGTTCTCTTTATGATTATACAATATATACATATTTATAATATACTACACATATATACAGAGGAAGTATTATACAGATATATACAGATGTGCAATGTACAATGCTTACATATATTTACATATATCTATGAGTCATATATCATCTATGTACAAGTGTCACGTACAGTATACATATATATGTATGTCTAAGGCTGCAGCCGTGTCAGCGGCTGTATACAGTATATACAGTATATACAGTATACAGTATACAGTATATGTATACTGTACGTGACACTTGTACATAGATGATATATGACTCATAGATATATGTAAATATATGTAAGCATTGTACATTGCACATCTGTATATATCTGTATAATACTTCCTCTGTATATATGTGTAGTATATTATAAATATGTATATATTGTATAATCATAAAGAGAACATCATTCAAAATGTAAATGCGTCACAAACTTTTCTGGGTACATATAGTGTGAAGTGTACATAATAACAATCACATGTGAATAATTGAATAATTGATGATATTATGTGTAATGTATGCACATGTAGTCGATTATGTCTATATGTAAAGCTATTGTTTATTGTACCTATATACGTGTATATTGTAAATACGTACACTATATACATGCATTCATATTGTACCTATTCGAACTTCGCCAAAAATGTCGGTCCCTTGCGAAGTGTAGCATGAGTTTGCTATTTATTCTGCAGTGTTCTTTGTTGTTCCATGTTTAAAACGTATATGTTTTTCTGTTATTATCGCTGACGAAGCTCCAGGAGCGAAATATTCGATAATCTTAAATATAACTTTTTGGCTCCTATTTCAGATTTATATTATGAGGTTACTGGTTATTCTTACATCAAGGAAAAAATATCCACCGCATCGAGGTGCCCGTGTCTGATAAGCATGCTTTCCACTTCAGAATCTGTCAAATGTGCTTTATAATTGAGGTGCGTAGTTTTAAGACAAATGAAAGGCGTAGGTAATTTTCGCTAAAAATCGTTTTGCAGAGGTTTAAAACATTTATATTTTAAAGAATACTGTTGCTTGTCATGCAAACGTGATGATTGGATCTTGGAGAGAATTGAATGCTCTTTCTAATGATAGCATTTTCAATTGTCAAGCGTATCAGGTTAAGCAGCAAATCCCGTGTATCTTTTTAGTGGCACATTATGGACAAATACCATTTTAATTCAGCGATTTTTTCCACATTGTTTTTGATCAATTAGCTTTTCACAATTTTTCCATGAGAGACGGTACATTTTTATTGCTAATAGGCGCTGTTTCAACTCATTCCGTCTGACGATCACCTGAAATTAATATAAATTCCAAAATCCGTTTAAAATGGCACTTTTTGAAATGAAATTGCCCTCACACTTGCACGTGGCGCGTGCCACCCCTGCACCGCACACTATTCGATTGCCCGTTCGATTCTCTACACGATGCTGTTTTCCCCGTGCCGATCGGGCGCACGGCTACCGAGATATTGCACGGGGAACGGACCCGTGTCGGGCAAATTTAGCCATTTTCGCCCGTTTTTGCCAGCCGATTTATACATGTAAAGTCTATGACGCGAATTTGCACTTTTTGGGCACGCGCCACGCGCTCGCTATCGATCCGATCGAGCCGAGACCGCTCAAAGGCACGTTGTCCATCCTTGTTCTATAACTTGCGCAAATTTCAGCGCGGTAGGTGCAACGGTGTGATCTGTAACCCGCGCTACGTAGCACCATGTCGCGACCTTCGTAATAGACAGAAACTACGCCCTCCTCAAATAGTAATATAGACAAGCGGCTGCGCCACTTGCTTTGCTGCGTGGTAGAAAAAAATACAGCACCAGCCAATTTGCTTTCGAATGGTGTTTGATTCATGTCGATGTGTCGTCTAGAAGCATAGATATGGACGGAAACGTGAAGAGAATTTAAAAAAGAACTGTTCTGAGGGCGTTGTTGGATGAAATTTGGGTGATACAGGGTCAAGACGGGTCAAAGGTGTCAGCCTCGGTCACTTTGGGTCAGGCCAGGTCACATAGGTCACCTCTCGTCCGCTGGGATCAGCCCGGGCCACTGTTCTGCTTTTGCCTCCACCCCTAACACTACCCCTACCACTACCCCTACCACTACCCCTACCACTACCACTACCCCTACCACTACCCCTACCACTACCCCTACCACTACCCCTACTACTACCCCTACTACTACCCTTACTA